ATAATCAGAAGTAATTTTTTCTAATTAAATTATAATTAGAAGTAATTTTAAACAAACTAATTGAATAATATTTAGAAATACTTTTTTTAAAAATTAATTATGTAGGGGAGAGTAGTCAAGGTTGAATAGGTGGTCAAGGTTGGATAATGGCGCTTATTTCGTTTTATCACATAGTGACACCAACTTTTTTACAATGTTTAGCAAAAACATTGCATTTTGGTAGAACTTTCCAATAATATAAGAGGAAATCGTCAAATTCGGTAGACAGGAGAAGTTATAGAAAACAGTCAGTACCTGATCCAACCTTGACTACACTCCCCTAATATTAGAAATATGTACATTTTTTCTAATCAGTTAATAATTAGAAATAATTTGTTCCAATTAAATTATTATTTAGAAACAATTTTTTTCAAAATGATAATTAATAAATTATAAATAAAAATATATTTTTCAAACAATTTAGTTTTTTTATATTGAAAGAAGTGATAAATAATTAAAAACAATTTAAAAAAAAAAATATTTACCTGTTAAATATTTGAGAAAAAATTTAAATAAAAAAATATCTGGGGAAAAAAAATCTTAAATATATTCGCAAATTATGGCAGGATAGAAGTATTTAAAAAATATAATATTCAGAGAGAATATTATGATGACGTAACCAGTTTTAATGAAAGAAGTTAGTGAATGCTTTTCTCCATACACACTCTGCGCTCCTTCTAATGAAAAATTTCTCCTTCTGTTCACATTTTCGATAAAACCTCGTGACCAAACGGTTTTTAATGACTCCCAGGGTAAATTAAGTTTGCATAGTCTTCAATTTCACCCTTGGAGTCCTCTCTGTTCTTTCGAACATCATTACCGTTTGAATTTCGAGTGCAAACGCAGACGGTTTTTTTTTTTATCTTTTATTGATTTTCATTTGCTTTTAAATTTTTAATTATCAAGCGACGAATCATTATTTTTCTATATACATATATTTTATATAAACGCGCGTGACGATGGCAAAATTTTACAAATAAAATTTAATTGAGAGAGAGAGAGGTGCGAAAATAAATGATATACAATCGATAGGTAACATAATAATGCAATTTGATAACGATAATGGACTTTTTTTTATTTATTTATTATTTATTATAGAAAGTCTTTTTTAGGGATTATTTATTTTTTTTGCAATATTGTGTCATATGAGAATATTATTAATACAATAGCTATTTGTCAATTTGTATATGACATTTTGATTAAAATTTCCTGCATATAACAATTTATATCGTCAAATGACGATTTGCAATATATTATTTGCAATATTAAGAGAGGAGTTTATTGAATTTTAATTAGTTTCTTTGTGCACTTGTTATATTTCCCAAAGAGAGAGTGAGTTATTTTACACTACAATTTAATTTTTATGTTTTTGTTTTATGAAGATAATATAAAGTCAATTTTATTTATTTTTCGTATTTACTTTATTACTTTTTTTTATTATTTTTTTATTTTATTTTATCCTTTGAAAATATCAGATCTTTTTTCTCGTCCTCATTTCTCTGTATTATTATTATTATTATTATTATTATTATTATTATTATTATTAAATATTACTCTCTCAAAATCTGAATTAGTGAAAATTAAGTCACTAATTTATATTCATAAGATGCTGTACTAATTTTTTTTAGTTATTTTTTTACTAAATTTAGAGTAAAATGAGTTACTTAAAAAAGGAAAAAAAATTTAAAACCAAAGAAATAGTAACATTTTATTAAAAATGAGTGAATATTATGACTAATTTAAATTAGTTGTTTAATTTTCCCTAATTGCTGATTTAGAGAGTTTGGAATTATTTTGAGAAAAAAGTGAATGTTTCGATATAATGTTAAAGTTAAATATTTTATATTTACAAAGTTCTTATTAAAGAAAAAAAATGTTGAAACAATATTCTATGTGTTACATATAATATTTTGGTAATTGAACAATTTTTTTTATTTTCTTGGTAAAATATAAGGCGTGAGAAGCATATGCGAAAATGAAATTTTACAACTCTTTATCTATATAGAAAAATTTCTCTCAATGTCGTCGTCTTATCCGCGGCGAAAGAGATATCCCACTTTCTGTGATAAATAACTTCATTACTTACCAGCTCACGAAGATCTCTTTTCTTGAGTGTATTATCTTTACGCAAATCAAATTGCCCCGAAAAACGGCTGCTTGCATAAAATAACGATTTTTTCGAATATACATTTCCTGGAAGAAATCCTCAAAAATTACTCGTATTTCATACGTATTCAGTTGCATAATTCAATATTTGTTGTATAAATTTAATTATTAATTAAATTTTTATTTAATTGACCTAAATATAGTCACTATACTTAAATTACTATAAATTACTCGTATTTCTTATGTATTCAGTTTCATAATTCAATATTTGTTAAATTAAATTAAATTAAACTTAAACTTAATTAATTTAATTTAAATTAAATTTATATTTAATTGAGATAAATATCGTCACTATACTTGAATATTAGAATAAAATTGACTACTTTAATTTTTAAAATTAAACAATGAATTTTCGTTCAAAAGAAAGTGCAAAATTCTCTTGTATAAAAGGATTTTCAAAATGATGCGCGCTTTTTAGGTTACGACGACGCCATCTGGTGGTAGCGTCCCCTAATTAAAGCTAATATTAATTTTAACTTTATTCAATAGAAATTCAACTAAATAAAAATTCATGAGTACAAAAATTCATAACCGTAGAAATTCTGTTAAATCTTTAAATATAAATACGATCGTTTTATATTGAAATAATTTTTTGACAAATTTGAATGGATTTATTAAGTGTCTTTCAGAGAAAAATTATATTTATTTGTTTAATTCATTTATTTGATTCAAATAACCGATTACTTGTCTATTATCAAAAAAATATTTACATGAATTAAATAATTTTTATTTGAATTAAATAAATGGCATTTAAACCAATAATTTCAGAAATTCAATAATATTCGAAAATTGAAAAAAAATTCTCTTTAAAATTTCAATTATTTTTATAAATTAATAAAAAATTTATTCGAAATTCAATTATTTTCAAAAATTTTAATAAAATTCTTGGCAAAATTTCAGTTTTTTTCAAAAATTTTCCTTAATTCAATGATTTTTAATACCTATTGTTTTAATAAAATGTTCCAAAATTAGTTAAATTTTTATTAAATTAATTATTCAAAATTCCCTTAAAGAAGAATTTCAGTTAAAAAAATTGGATTTTGAAGAAGTTACAAATGATTGCAGAAATATTCTATTCAATTATTTTCATAAATAATAATAAAATTCATCGCAGGATTTCAATTATTTTTAATACAATTTTACAGGAATAATTGCTTCAAAAATGTAAATATTCTTAAAAATTTAATTTCAATTCCTCGAAAAAATGAATTATTAAAAAAAATTTTTTTTTAATTCTTTGGAACAATTCAATTATTTACCAAAATGTAAGAATTTTTCACAGGAATTCAATTATTTTCAAATATTTTAATAAAATTGTTCGAAAGAAATCAATAATTTTAAAAATAATTTTAATTAAATTTTTTTGAAATAATTCAATTATTCTTTTAGATTTTAATAAAATTCTTCCCACGAATTCAATTATTTACATAAATTATTTCCGAAAATTCAATTATTTCGAGGCATTTTAATTAAATTCTTTGCAAATTTAAATAATTTTCATAAATAACAATATTCAACACAAGAATTCAATTATTTTTAAAAGTGATAAATTTCTTTTTGGAAATTCAATTATTTTTAAAAATTCTAATAAAATCGTTCGCAAGAATTCAATTATTTTCATAAATAGTAAAATGCTTTTAGGAATTCAATTTTTTTCAAAAAAATTTAATAAAATACCACACAGATATTCAATTATTGTCAAAAATTTTAATAAAATTCTTGTCAAAAATTAAATTATTTTCAAAAATTATCCTTAATTTAATAATTTTTCATATCTTCTATTTTAATAAAATTTTCCAAAAGAATTCAATTATTTAAAAAATTTTTAATAAAATTCGACGCGAACATTTAATTACTTTCATAAATCTAATAAAAATTCCACAGGAATTCAAATATTTGTACAAATTTTTTATAAGTTTCTTTTCAATAATTCAATTATTTTCATAAATAATAAAACTCATTGCAGAATTTCAATTATTTTTAATACAATTTTAATCGAATTCCTTGAAAAATGTAACTATTCTTAAAAATTTTTATTAAAATTCATCAAAAGAATTAAATTATTTAAAAATTTGGTAATAAAATTCTTTATAAGAATTACATTTTAAGAAACATTCAATTATAATTCATTAAATAATTTACTTTTGTATTTAAATAATTGAATTCTCCTAGAATTTTCAAATAAAAATTGATTTAAAATTTAATTTTAGTTAAAGTTTTACACTATAAAAAAAAGGTTCTAAATTAGAGCTGATTTCGGTACTAAAATAGAACCAAATTAGATTTAGTACCAATTTTGGTACTAAATTAGTACCTTTCTTTTTATAGTGTAGATAATAATAGAATATGAAAGTAATTTTGAAGAAGTTACAGTAACAATATTCTTATAATATAAAATAATGATTTTAACACTCGATCCTCTTTAATTATTAATTATTATGAAACTTAAAGAAATCGATCACTCCGAGTCGAAGACTCGGAGTAATCGTTATCTTTATGTTTTATCAATATATTTTTAAAGTTGATTAATTTCAGAAAGTTTTGAATTTGAATGTTTTGTAGAATTTTAATTCCTACGGAAAAATAATAATAATTAAATATTAAAAATATTTAGAAAAGAAATATAGTTAATGTTTTTTGGTCTAATTGTTAAAAATTGTTTTACATATTCAAAAATAAATTGTTTATGAAAAAAGGGGAAAAAATAAGAAAATAAAAAAAAAAAAAAATACTAAAGTTATATTTATTTGAGATTGACAGAGTTGAAGTAATAAATATATTGCTTTGGGTTGCAGGTGGTTGCTGCAAATGAGGCTGGCGAAAGAGGAAGAGGAATATTGACAGTCTTCTTTTTTGGAGGGGACTGTGAGATACGATGGCCACGTTCATAGCGACGGGACGTCGGAGATGGGGTTGGGGGTGGGTGCTCTTCGCCGTCACCTTGCTCGTTCTGGCCACCCCCAGTCCCGCCGCCATTCGGAAAGGTAAGCCTTTAATCCCTTATTCTCGTTGAATCTTGCGCCCCTGATGATCACAGACGGTCCAAGATCACTGTAAACAGAATAGAAACCACATTTATGTGCCTAACCTTATAACTCCAATCTGTGGAGTTCTATATATACTCTATATCTCCATCTCCCTTTCCAAGAGAAGTTATATACATACACAGAAAAAAGTGAGTGTTATTTTAACACTGAATTCGGTGTTAAAAGTGTCTGCATCAAACTTTAGCTCGGAAGTGTTATTTTAACACCGAAAATAAGGTAAATTTTCTATTATAGAAAATTTATCCTCACTAAAATTACCCTACCAAAATTTACCCGCATCAAAAACAACACTCGCTTTTCTCTGTGTATATATATACTTCCAGTTTAAACATCTTCAATGACCCTTCCCGACCAACTAACTTGTTTGTATAATTAAAGACGATTTCTATTATTATTTACTTAGGATTCAAGCCACGATATCCTCTCTCACTATTTGCTTATCAAAGTTATATTCAGCCGAAAGTCAATTTTGCAGGGATTGATGATTTTTTTTCACTAATTCCTGTTAAGACAAATTTAATATGAGGCGTTTTTTTAGCTTTATGAAAATTAGAGAAAAAGTAAAAGATTTTTCTTAAATTTATGTTTTTTTATTTAATCCAAGGGGGGAAAGTAATAAAGAATAGTAATTTTTACCAGAGGCCTTGGATTAAATGAGTACTCTGGCGTATGCAATAAGTATTTTTGCATAGGCACTATTTTGGTAGAAAATTAGTTTATTAAAAAGTAGAAAATTAAATTATTGTAAAATATGACTAATTTGATGAGTTTAAAAATATTTTTTCACATTTTTTTTATGTAAATTTACTTTTGCATGAAAATAAATAAACTTTTCACCGTTTAAACAGGGCTTGAACTAGATCCGTAAATTCCGCAATGGTCCGTAAAACTCAGTTTTTTTTTTAAAAAAGTCCGTAATTTAATTGAAAAAAGACGAAAAATTCGTAAGTTGTACAATATAATTTAGAGAAATTACAAATGATTGCAGAAATTCAATTATTTTTAAAAGTAATAAAATTCTTCGTAGAAATTTTATTATGTTGAACAATTAAACAAAATTCTCACGTCAAAATTTCAATTATCTTTAGAAATAATAATGAATTCAATATTACTTTCAATGCAATTTTTATCGAATTCTTTAAAAAAATTTAATTTTTTTTTCATGAAATTTAACATAATTTTATTCTTCTCAGAAATACAATTATTTTCAAAAATTTTATTCAAATAACAATTCATTTATCTTCATAAATAATAAAATTCTTAGCAGAAATTAAATTATTTCAATAAATCTATTTAAATTTTTGTCAAGAATTCAATTATCTTCACAAATAATACAAAATTCTTTACAAAAATTCAATTATTTTCAAAAATTTTCTTAAAATTCTTCACAAAAATTCAATTATTTTCATAAATAATAAAATTTTTCTTCTCAGAAATTCAATTATTTTCAAAAATTTTAATTAAATTCTTTACTAAATTTTAATTATTTTCAAAAATTTTCCTCAATTCAATAAATTTTTAATATCTACTATTTTAATAAAGTTTTCCAAAAGAATTCAATTATTTAAAAAAATTCTTTACAGAAATTCAATTATTTTCAAAAAATTTCAAAAATTCAATTATTAAAAAAAATTTGTTTAAATTTTTGTCAAGAATTCAATTATCTTCACATGTAATACAAAATTCATTACAAAAATTCATTTTTTTTTTAAATTTGAGTAAAGTCTTGTCAAGAATTCAATTATTCTCATAAATAAAAAATATTATTTTATTCAAATAACAATTCAATTATCTTCATAAATACTAAAATTCTTATCAGAAATTCAATTATTTAAAAAAATTTGATTAAATTTTTGTCAAGAATTCAATTATTTTCACAAATAATACAAAATTCTTTACTGAAATTCAAATTATTTTCAAAAATTTTGTTGAAACTCTTCACAAAAATTCAATTATTTTCATAAGTAATAAAATAATTCTTCTCAGAAATTCAATTATTTTCAAAAATTTTCCTCAATTCAATGCATTTTCAATATCTACTTTTTTAATAAAGTTTTACAAAAGAATTCAATTATTTAAAAAAAAATTTTATAAAATTCTACGCAAACATTTCATTATTTTCATAGAATAATAAAAATTTCACAGAATTCAATTATTTACAAATTTTTTTTTATAAATTTCTTCTTAATAATTTAATTATTTTCATAAATAATTAAATTTTTACAGGGATTCAATTATTTTCGTACATAATAAAATTCTTTTTAGGAATTCAATTATTTTCATAAATCCTAATAAAACTCATTGCAGAATTTCAATTATTTATTTACTTTTAATCAAATTTTAATCAAATTCCTCGAAAAATGAAATTATTTTAAAAAATTTTATTAAAATTCGTCAAAAGAATTAAATTATTTAGAAATTTGTTGATAAAATTCTTTATGAGAATTTAATTTTAAGAAAGATTGAATTATTCAATAAACTATTTTTTGTTATATTTAAATAATTAAATTCTAGTAGAATTTTCTAATAAAAATTGATTTAAAAAGTAATTTTAGTTAAAATTTTAGATAATAATTGAATATTAAAAGTAATATAGCGTGAATTTTTAAAAACAATTAAATTTTGAAATTAATTTTTTTGAAAAAGTTAAATTGAATTTTTTTTATATTATTTGAAGTTTTTGATAAAGTCGTATAAAACACGAAGAAATCGATATTCGAAATTCGATATATTCACGTTTTATAGTTATAAAAAAATTTAATTTATTATTAATTTATAGTTTACAGTTCACTAATCAAATATTAATTTTATGTACATATAAAGTTTGATGGAGCAGTATGTTTATTTGATATTTAAACATTTTTCTCTTTAATTTCGAACGAATTCATAAAAATACTGATAATCGCGATTTTCATTAAACCCCACAATAGATATAGCGAAGATACAATTTTATTTCGCAACTTTAAATGAATGTTTGAATGTAATTTGAATTTACACAAAAAGTTGAAATAACAATGCGTTGAAATAGAAAATTTCAGTTAAATTCTTTTTCATATAAAATTTACAGAGTTTACACGTTCTGAATTAAATGTTTAAAATTTTTTCCCATTGTATTTTATATATATGCATATTGTTTAAAAGTTAAACATTCATAAAATACGAAATGAAAAAGGTTCAAAATTTGTGCTATTTTTTTTATTTTTTGAAACAGTGGTCTTATTGGAATTTTATCCAAATAAAATAAATTGCTCTTAATTTTTGTACTGATCAATAATTTCATTCATTTTTATTTTTATTTTAAATTAATAATTAGGTAAATTTTAGTAAAGTCTAATCAGAAGCTGTTAAAATTAATAGGCCGTTTAGTTAGGAGACGCTACCGCCAGTTGGCGTTGTAGCAGCATAGAAAGCGCGCGTCTTTTGAAAGGCCTTTTTTTATTATTGTATTTTTTTAGTCTATTTCTTATTATTAGTAGTTTTTATTAGTAGTTTTGTATTGGTTTTATTTCATTCATGGTTCTATTTTATTTCATTGTCATTTTATTTATTTTATTATTTACTTTACTGTTATTTTATTCTAGTTGTTTTTTTGGCCAATATTTTTTTATTTCATGCTTTATTACAGGTATTTTCAAATGCTTTAGTTATAAGGCAATAATTTTCTTTATTTATAGTTTTATTAAATTAGTACTTTTTTCATATTTTTCAATAGTATTTTTTTTTTAATTAAGTTTTATTAATAGTAATTTATTTTAGTTATTTTGAATAGTATTTTAATATTATCAGCTTCATTATCATTATTAGTCTTTTTATTTATCACAGTTTACAAAATGCCGCACAATTTTTACAGTTATTAATTTACAATCACGTTAGCTTTCTAATTTCTTTTGCTGCTTGTTTTTTTTCTGGTCGCAATCTCGGCGAGAGGTGTAGCAAAAAAAATTCATCAAATTCGCGTATTCCTATATAGTGTGTGGTGATAGAAAAAATTAGATTGTTCAATCTATTTTCGATTTTCAGTAGGTAGAGAGGGGAGGGGGTGGGATGGGGGATAGTAAAGGGAAAAAGAGGGGGATTGGGGGGGGGTGGTTAAAAAAAGTAAAGGTAGATGGAGAAAAGTTTCGTATCGGGAATATGATAACGAAAGAGGGTTGCTCGTAGACCGGAAGTGGCTGATAAATTGATTCTCGTCGTCTGCGCACGAGCCACGACCCCTGGGAATTTTCTCTCGGTGCGTCGCGCTTCGAATACGAAATTTATCCATGCTATTTAATCGAACGTTCCTGATCCTAGTCAGGACGATTATTATCACCAACACGCTGCAGTCGCGCGGTGAAATGGTTGGTGGTGTATATATATATGTATATATAAAGAGTGAAAGAGGGAGAGAGAGGGGAATGGAATGAATGAGCAAATGGCTTTGGCTGCAGATTGGAATGCGCTTGAATATACGTTAAAATCCGTTTGAGAGGGTGCGCGATTAATTTTTCCACAACTAGACATCGTGAACAAGGTACCAAACGCGCGTTTTAAAGTGTCAGCTTAACGCGAGATTTATTGGACGCGAGAATCCGGCTTGCGCCTGAATTATGCACCATTCACCGGACGTCATCCATCCAGGTCTCCTGTACCTTTTCCTCTGCACCTGTACCTATATAGAAATATATATATTCCATGTATATATAGATATATTTCTATATGATTTTTAAAGTCGAAAGATTCATGAGAATTTGTGTGGTAAAATGAGTTAAATTTTATGTTTTTACCTTTTTTTTTGAAAAATAAAAAAATATTCTTTCTTTAAGGGCATTTGAACCATTATGACATTATAGTTTGTTCAGAGCATTTGTTTTAAAACTCTGACGTTATAATTCAAATTCCCTTAAAAAATTTTCAAATAGGATTTAGTTTCCTTAAAGTAATATTTTAGTTCAAAG